ACCAGTGAGTTTTAGGATGACTAGTTACATGACCTCGTTTCTTGGCTAGGTATAATTTCTTGTGAGATGTAGGCTAGTTGTGTTTTTCTTCGTACATAGATCGGGATTAATATTTATTTATTTATAATTCGAGACATATGGTATATACATGAGGGTTTCCTTGTTTGGATTATTTCGCTCGACGTACTACGTCTCGAGTTGTAGATTTTTAAGTATTAATTCCATCTATTGTATGATCTTGTTGCTTAGATGATTATTCTGATCGTTAGCTGCATGATTTCGTTACCCGATTGATTTACGGATTCTTAGGATTATCATGTTTTGGTAGTGGATTGCATGTTGATTTTGTTGGATTACCAGTTGTACGTTCTTTCGTCGTTTCGGTTATCGTATCGTTTTTCGCATTGGATTTTCGTTCGTTCTATTTTCTTTGTGGGATCGGGTCTTACCGTGCGTCATGCACCTGACGTACACCTGTTTTCTCTGGTGTACGTCAGACTTAGAAGAAGAACAGGTTCAGTTTGGAGATGCGCCAGAGCCGGAGGATTCTCAACAAGAGTGCCTTGTAGACGGAGCAGAAGAAGGAGTCGAAGCTTATTCTTTGATGGTTCCAGTTTACTTTGTAGTTCTTTCTTTTTTCATTGATCGATGTATTTTTGTATCTCTCCTATATTCATTTGTTCATTTTTATATAAGGGCATGTTGACCTATATCATTATGTCTCGGATGTTATCTCATTTGCGATATGATATTTTTATTCTGAGTTTGTCTATTATGTTCTTGCTGATTGTGATCGGGGACCTGTGACTTCGCATTGTATTTATTTCCAGACGCTTAGCGTATTAGATTGAGAAGACGGGGTCTAGCACTTATCTCTTCTCAGTCTAATACGTCGCGGGCTTGTTCACGTTCCGATTCCCCGGTATTTTGGGAAGCGGGGCGTGACAACCGCAGAGGGCTGCTCATACTTATTGGACAACGCCGCCATGAGATCCACCGTCGTATTCTGATTCTTGATGTTGAATGCTACTGATTTCGACAAGGTCAACCTGATCGCTCCAAGGGCCTTTCGATCTAATAACTTCCACTCCGCATCCTTCATATCCATCAGCTTCTCTCCTAATGGTAGGTATAGATCCTTCTGATAGAGGTAATCTTCCATCTGCATCTTCCAGAACCCGAAGTTCGTTCCAACAAACTTCTCAATCTTGGATGTTTCCTTCTCAGATCCCATGTCTCTGACCTCAAATCGCCCACGCCGAACCTGGTCGCTCTGATACCACTTGTTGGGGATGCACAACCCCCTAATGCGATTTGGAAATAGAGAAGAGAGAGAAAGAGAACAATCACAATCACAAACACACATGATTTACGTGGTTCGTTCCTCAATGTGAGAAACTACATCCACAGCCACCGCAGGAGAAAATTTCACTATTTTTTATTTTTTTTACATCATACCCTAATTAACCATTTTATAGACATAAGGGTTTAACAAACAGAAAAGGAAACAGGTCAAAAACAGAACTGGGCCGAAACCCGACTTGCGGTCGACCGCGCCACTGCTCGAAATCTAGAAAAGTTTCTAGAGTTTTGGCGGTCGACCGCCCGCACTCGCGGTCCGACACGACAAGCCTGTAGCTTGCTGAGTCTCTAGACTTGGCGGTCAACTGCCGCGCCATGCGCGTCGCCGGACGAAGAAAAAATATGGGCTGCTTCTGATTTTTGGCGGTCGACAGTCGCGCCTTGTGCGGTCACCATAGAGCTTTCCACCTCTGTGTTTGTTCTGTGCACGTCGACGGTCGACCGCCGCGCCATGCGCGATCGACCGTGACTCAAAATGCATTCTTCATCGTTTTTCTTGAACTTCGTCGTCGTCAATCCTGTTCCTCCTTATTTTCTCTTCGTTCTGAATTATAGGGCAGGTCTAATAGTTAGGCTTCACATATCCTAACACCGATTGGGCAGAATCCCAAACGGTTATAACCGTTTGGGATGTTGCCCAAACGGTTAAAACCGTTTGGGTGAAAAATTGCCCAAAGGTTTCAACCGTTTGGACAATTTATCGCCCAAACGGTTTCAACCGTTTGAGCTATTTATTTTAATAGTTTTAAAATTTTGGCTTTTTTATTTTTTTTCATCTGTTTATATACACATCTCACATAATAAGTACTCAATATCTCACAATGAAATCAAAATATTCTCATACTTTTCTAAATATCCAATGTTATATATTCATACGCAATGTTTACTCAATATACTTAGAGACAAAACATATACATACACAATGTACTCAATATCTCACAATGAAAAGCATATAATATTATATACTTGTCTCTAATATCCAAAATGTCCAACATAATCAATCAAGTCAAGAAAAAAGAAATTCCTCGAAGAATGTCCTCTTAGGAAAAACCCGAACGCCTCAAGTCTGCAAATATCCTAACAAGATTCTCCTGTGATAAACCTTGAGCACTGGAAATAGAAGTGTTACTAGTCGAAGCGGGACGAACAGAATATGGTATATCGGTAACGGGCTGAGGAATTAGAGCAGCATAAGTAAAAGATGGTGGATCATTAGGAGTGGGAGCAGGACGAGTAAGTACAGATACATTGTGTATGTATATGTTTAACTCACGAGCCCATGACCCGAGATCGGACGAAGCTATATATATAGCTTCCTAGGGTTTTGTGTGGTTGCAGGGTGTACGCAGGCAGAGGGAGAAAGCTTTCGGCTACGTGAAAATGAAGAGGCTTGGGCGGCGTGCAAGTACAGGGGAAAATTGCAGAAAGTGCAAGGCCTCGTGCAGAGGAGAAAAACCCTATTTGGCGGCTGTCCTTTTGAAAGAGAGATTGTGAGGGATTTGAGAGATTGTTCGAGGGTTTAATTTGTGTGATTGTAAACCCTATTTGTATTCTCTCTCTCTCTCTATTAGTAGATCTCCCCCCTCCTTACCCCATGGACGTAGGCAATTTATCGAACCATATAAAATTGGTTGTCTCGCTGTTTGTGTGATTTGTAATAGCTTATTTAGGTTCCCTCGACAGGTCAGTCCTAGAACTGATGAGAGGAAGAGCTGATATCCCACTTTGTTAAGATATTTTGCTTTTGGTTCTTGTTTCCTTAGTGAAATGGGAATTCTTGTTGCAACCTAACTATCTTGTTGCGCCGAGGTGCTGCCGAAATTTCATTGCGCACAATAGATGGTACTTCAGGAAGGAAGGGGCTAGCTTTTTAGGAAATTACTGAGAAATCAGGGATTTGAACATAAATTAAACAGGAGGAAGCAGGCTACAAACATATGAAATATAATATTAAATTTTGTATGTAAAATGAATATTGATATGTATCAGAACACACCGCCAGGGTTAAAATTTTCTGTTCATAAAACTTCTCACATGCTATTTTTGGGGTGGTTTTCATGGGTGTTTTCTTTTAGAAACAAACCCTTTTGTTGTCGGCAGGTTTGGTTAAACCTGGAGTTCGTCAATTTGAACTTCTCAAACATATTCAATGGAATATATATATGTCAGGTTTTATTCATCTATTTTCATTTTAAACTTTTTATGTGACTCAAAAGACCATTGTACCCATTAAGTTTAAACTTTTTATGTAACTGATTATTGATGTTGCATCAGAACATACCACTAGGTTTTAATTTTGTTATTCACGAAAACAAGCATGGAGGTCCCAATGTCCAAAAAGTTTATTTAACTATTAAAGCGTTCCTCAGCTTATGGAAATGTACAGTTTTCATGTCCTATGTCCAAAAAGTTTATTTAACTAGGGAAAATAAGATACATATTAATACATGAAGAGAAAGGAAGAAAGGAGAGAAAAGTACGTAGTGTATAAGGAGATAAGAGGAAGATTTCAAGGAAAAACAAAAAAATCAATTCCTAAAAATTTTATTTTGTTTTCGCGCATAAGATAAAAAGAAAATTTTTCTGTTTTTTGCAACTTTGCGTAAGTATTATAAAATTCCAACGGATACTCGAACTAGTTATCTGAAAGACTTACTGGGTTCTTTCTAATTGGTTCCCAGAAAAAAAAATAACTTCTCTAATTTAACAAAAAACAATATCTACCAAACCGCATTGCATATATCACTACCAGTTATCGGCCAATGCTTCTGATAAAATAAAGGCGACACTCTACCAAACCGCATTGCATATATCACTACCAGTTATCGGCCAATGCTTCTGATAAAATAAAGGCGACACGCCATCTGGACCGAGAGCCTTGTTTAGGTGCAGTTATCGGCCAATGCTTCTGATAAAATAAAGGCGACACGCCATCTGGACCGAGAGCCTTGTTTAGGTACATCTCAAATACTACTCTGAGGATTGCAATATCGTCCACCACTTTTGCATAATTAGGAATTGATTTTACATATCGAAAAGTTTGCTCTTAATTAATTTTGTTTTATCGTGATCGAATTACTCTCACATCTTGTTATATCATTTTGCTAGAATCCGATGCTTCAATTTGTTATGATCCAGCTAGAGAAGGCGCTTCCAGGACCAATTAATTATTAGTTGAAATAAAAATGTGTTGGTTCACATATATAGTTGAAAAAAGCAACAATAATTAAACATGCAATTATTTGTTTGTAACTAATGTCTTTCTCTTCTGCACGTGCTGATTCAAATAATTTATTCCATTAATTTCCGAAGGAAAACAAAGAGACTGAAAACTGACTGATAGTCATTAGTATCTGAATGTAGTCATAACTTTCATAGTGATTAATCATGTATGCACTAAATAAGCCGTGTTAATTGCATTTATAGTCGATAATGATGTATGCAATAAGATTTATGTCAGATAAGACATATGCATACTTAGCTCACTGTATGATCTTTATCTCCCTAGGTGATTTTTCAGAGGACCCCTTCTGCATAGGATTCCTTTTCTTTCTTTGACAGTAGGTTTTAATTCGCTCAACAAGCTTGGCTATATAATAAGCACACCTAACGTTGCTCATTCCACGATCACCAAGAAAACTAGTACAACACGAAGCCCCCTCCTGTGCTCGAAAACATTAATGGCTTTTGCATGTTGTTATGTTCTTTTCCTTTTCCTCATTATCGCAAGATTATGTAATGCGACTGACTACAACATTCTGGATTTTGCAATGAAGAGGAAACATGAACTGTGGATGGCGGAGCACGGACGTGTTTACAAAGATGAGGTAGAAAAAGCAGCGAGATTTGAGATATTTAAGGATAATGTGAAATACATAGAAGAATTCAACAATGGTGGAGTTTATAATTACACTCTAGGCGTAAATGAATTCGCTGATCTCACGCATGAAGAGTTCAAGGAAACTTTTATTAGTGGATTCAACGAGGACTCGTTTCGGTCTTCTTCGGAATACAATACTACGATATCGACGGAGCCTCAAATTTCTTCTGTTCCTTCTAGTGTTGATTGGAGGGCTGAGGGTGCGGTTACCGCCGTCAAGAATCAAGGTTCCAAATGCAGTAAGAAATCCTTCTGACAAGTTTTTTTTTTTTGTTATTTTCTTTACCCTTTTTATCGTTCTTTTGTTTAATTTGGCTAAATATGATAAACCCCTCATTAACTTTAGATGATTATGACATAGACCCCCTCCCCTCATAAATTTCAAAATATCAAAAAAACCCTTAACTTAGGGGTTATCTGAAAACCCTCTTTAACTTTAAGGTTTTATCAAAAAAAAAATCTCTGACAGCATTAGCCGCAATTTTCATTTGCAAAAATACCCCTTTGTCTAGTTCTACCCGCCCAACAGCACGTACGCGTGAATAACATTCAGTCCAGTTCTAGCAAGAAAATCGACCTAAACATGTCGAAAATACAGGATCTTGTTGGGCATTTGCCACTGCTGCAGCAGTCGAAAGCCTTCACAAAATCAAGAACGGCGTACTCTACGACCTATCCCAACAACAACTCGTGGACTGTGCATGGAAAACCTTGGGGTGTGGCGGAGGATGGCCCCGCGACTCCTACAGTTACATCAAGGACAATGGCGGCCTCACGACCGCAGCAAATTACCCGTACAATGAAGTCGATAACCCTTGTGACGTGATGAAGGCAAAAGAAATCGTAGCAAACATTAGCGATTTCGTGTCTGTGACCCCAAAAACCGAGGCAGCGCTGATGGAAGCAGTTGCAAAACAACCTGTGACCGTGGTAATCGAAGCCGAATCGAAAACTTTTATGTTTTACAAGTCAGGTGATATATATTCTAAGGTTTGCTCGTGTATGTCTATGTTTATTTTATGTTTGATTATGTACTTGGTACTGGTGTGATATTGTGTTCGATATTACGTATAAATAATTAATGGAGTTGTCATTAGCTAATGGCCTGATGTGATTTTTTTTTTTTTTTTTTTTAAGAAAAATTGATATCGAGATCAATAGCAAGAGCACGATAGCAATTGCAAAAACACAGATTTCATAAGGTACGGACCATTAATAGAGAGATCAATATTTTTAGGCTCAATCATCTATTGTTTACTCTTGACGTCACTGCTGTGAAAAGCCGACAAAAAGATGACTTATTTTCGGATTCAGATCCACTCAACTACTAAAAAGTAGTGGAGAAATCACTGTGAGGACATGGGACGCACCCCATGAAGAGTGGCCCGCGTGTGTGGTTTCCGCGTGAACGAAGGCGTGTGATGAAGAGTGGATGTGTGAACGAAGGCCTATGAAGGGCCACCCGAAATCAAATCATAATATAAATGTACACGGAAAAATTCTCTAGGTTGGTGCGAAGGAGGCAGAGCAAGTACAGCTACAGGTTTTTTCTCTCTTTTGGATTTTGCGGCTGCATAAGAAAAATAGTAGCTGTGTTGAGGAGATTTTGTGTAGTCCCTTTTAGTGTTTTGTGCATCTTTTGTAGAGAGTATTTGTGTGAGGGATTTGAGAGTTTGTTTGAGGGTTTAGATTGAGTGATTATAAACCCTAGTTGTTTTCTCTCCCTCTAATAGTAGATCTCCCCCTCCTTGCCCCGTGGACGTAGGCAATTTGCCGAACTACGTAAAATTGGTTGTACTGCTATTTGTATGATTTGTAATAGCTTTTAGATTCCCTCGACGCGCAGTCCTAGAGCTGACGAGAGGAAGAGCTAATATCTCACTTTGATGAGATATTAGGCTTCAGATTCTTGTTCCCTTTGAGAAACAAGAATTCTTATTGCGATCTGACTCTCTTGTTGTGCTGCCGAAGTGCTGCCGAAATTTCCGCTGCGCGCAACAAGTGGTATCAGAGCCCAGATTTCAAATCTAGGGTTTTTCGGTGGAGGAAGATTCTTGTGTGAAGCTTGGTTCTTGGAGTTCTAGGCTTCGGTGGAGATAGCATTAGGAGTTGCCGTTGGAGATTTCGCTTTCCTCGTGTGGATAGGAGATCTATTTGGAATCCGATCTAGGGTTCAGTTGGGTGGTTCCTATTTTCTATCAAATTTGTTCTTTCTCTACAATTTGGACTTAGTTCGTAATGGGAGAAGAAGGTGAAAGCAGCAAATCAATGGCGAGTACGGTTCAAGTTGGTTTTCAGAACACCAAAATTAGTGTGGTGAAATATGACGGAAAAATTAACTTTGGTTTGTGGATGAGCGACGCACAGGACGCGCTCAATGCTCAGAATTTGGAAGAGACCATCATGGTCCACGAGAAACCACCTAAATATGATGAGGCGGTATGGGAGAAAATGAATAGGAACACTTGTAGGGTGATCAGGTCCTGTTTGGAACAGGAGCAGAAATATGATGTGATTGGGGTGACGTCTGCAATGAAGATGTGGGAAATTCTCAACAACAAGTATCTCACAAAGAGTGTTGAGAACAGGTTGCACTTGCTACGAAGACTCTTCAGATTTCAGATGTCCAGAGGCACCTCGCTAGCGGCTCATGTAAACAACTATACTAAGTTGTTGTCGGACTTGGCGAATGTTGATGAGAAGATATCGGATGAGTACAAGGCGATTATTTTGTTGGGCTCCTTACCGGATGAGGAGTATGATACCTTCGTGCTCACTTTGTTGAACGGGAGATCTTCGATCAGCTATAGTGAAGTGACTAACGCATTGACCAATTACGATTTGAGGAGGAAGGACAAGGAGACTTCCCGCGCTAGTACTTCAGGAGAGGCCTTGTCGACGAGAGGTAGAAGCCCATTAGGCGAGGCCTTGTCGACGAGAGGTAGAAGCCCATATCCGAAAGGTGGTAATAGAGGAAGGTCAAAGTCAAGAAGCCACCACCAATTAGCAAAGAACCAATGTGCATTCTGCAAGGAGCAGGGACATTGGAAGAGAGACTGCTCGAAGCTCAAGGAGAAGGAGAATGGTAAGAAAAAGGGCCCGAAGGCCAATGAGGTGAACGTTGTGAAAGGCGATGATTCCGATGATTCGTGCTTTTCTCTACTGATTACTCCGGAGGTAAACCATGTGGATGCATCAGATTGGATGCTTGATTCCGGCGCTACTTATCATGTGACCCCTAGGCGAGACTGGTTTGTATCTTTTTAGAAAGTCGACGGGGGTGTTGTTGTCATGGGAAATGATCAATCCTGTGGCGTTTGTGGGATAGGTACCATACGGATTAGGATGCACGATGGAGTAGTCTGTGAGTTGAAAGAGGTGAGATTTGTTCCTCAACTGAAGAAAAATCTTATCTCAGTTGGAGCTTTGGAGGCGAAGGGATTCAAGGTGACTTTCGAAAACGCTGTAGCGAAGGTTACTAAGGGATCATTGGTGGTGATGAAGGGAGTCCGCAATCGGAATTTGTATTATCTGAAGGGAAGCACCGAGATTGGCCAGGTTGCTTCGGCTATTTCAGAAACGGACATGAGCAGACTTTGGCACTATAGGTTGGGACACACAGGTGAAAAGTCACTGCAGGCATTGTGCAAGCAGGGGCTATTGAAGGGAGCCAAGAGTGGGAAGATTGAGTTCTGTGAGCACTGTGTTCTTGGCAAGAAGACGAAGGTAAAGTTTGGGACTGCTATTCATCAGACGAGGGGCATCCTGGACTACGTGCACACAGACGTTTGGGGTCCCATCAAGACTGCATCACTTGGTGGTCGACATTGGTTCGTCACTTTTGTAGATGACTATTCTAGGCGTTGTTGGGTGTACACCATGACGAAGAAGAGTGAAGTCCTAGATTTGTTTGTGGAGTGGAAGAAGAGATTGGAACTGCAGACTGGGAGAAAGATCAAGACGTTGCGATCCGACAACGGTGGTGAGTATACTTCTGACCCCTTTCAGCAGCTATGTCGAGACGAGGGCATAGAGAGACACTTCACAGTTAGTCATACACCGCAGCAAAATGGGGTGGCAGAGAGGTTGAATCGGTCTTTACTGGAGAAGATCCGATGCTTATTGTCGCAGAGTGGTTTGGAGAAGATCTTTTGGGCTGAGGCACTTACATATGCGAGCCACCTCATTAATAGGCTGCCTTCATCTGCGATTGAGGGGAAAACCCCTATGGAGATGTGGTCGGGAAAGCCAGCACATGACTATGACCAGCTCAAGGTATTCGGGTTAGAATTGATAAATTGGAACCTCAAGCTAGGAAGGCCATATTTGTAGGATTCAAGCGTGGTGTCAAGGGATACAAGCTTTGGGATCCAGTTGATAAGAAGATTGTGCTGAGTAGGGATGTCACATTCGATGAGTCTTCTATCTTAAAGCTTTTTAGCTCTCATCAGGTGGAGAGCGACCCGACGGAGGAGATATCGCAGGTGGTGGAGATCGATGCAGCTCCATATTATCCAGATGGTACAGTATTGATGCAGGTGCCGACTGAGGTGACGCCAGGCGAGCACGACGGTAACACGGAGGATACGAGTACAAATATACAGGATCAGGAACCGACGGCTCAGGTTCAGGATTCTATTGCGGTTCAGAGACAGAGGAGAAACATACAGATGCCAGCACGGTATGCCGACATAGTTGCGTATGCACTTCCGGTGAAGAGTATCGATGAGTTAGTGCCTACTACATTCAGAGAGGCCGAGCAGAGTTCAGAGGCTGATTCGTGGCAGGTGGCTATGCAGGAGGAGATGGAATCTCTTCATAAGAACGATATATGGGAGCTTGTTGAACTTCCAAAGGGGCGGAAGACAATTGGTTGCAAGTGGGTATACACGAAGAAGGAGGGCATTGAGGGCACTCCATTGAGGTTCAAGGCTAGGTTGGTTGCGAAGGGCTATGCACAGGAGGAAGGTATTGACTATAATGAGGTTTTCTCTCCGGTGGTGAAGTATTCTTCAATTCGGATTTTGCTAGCTTTGGTGGCACAGTATAGTTTGGAATTAGATCAGTTGGATGTAAAAACGGTATTTCTTCATGGTGATCTTGATGAAGAAATATATATGACTCAGCCATTAGGATTCCGAGCTACAGGGAAAGATAAGTTGGTTTGCAGGTTGAAGAAATCGCTATACGGTTTGAAGCAGTCTCCTCGACAGTGGTATAGACGATTTGATGGTTTTATGCTTGGTCATTCGTACACTCGGAGCCAGTTCGATCCTTGCGTATATTTTCGCAAGTTGAAAGGAGGTGCGTACATTTATTTGTTGCTCTATATCTACGACATGTTGGTTGCCTCTATTTCCAGGTCGGCTATAGATGAATTAAAAGTTCAGCTATCAAATGAGTTTGAGATGAAAGACTTGGGTGAGGCGAAGCGCATTCTAGGGATGGAGATCGGCAGAGACAAGAAGAAGGGCAGAATTTGTTTGACACAGGTAGCTTATTTGAAGAAGGTTCTACAGATACGAAGCCAGTTGGTGTACCTTTGGGAGCCCATTTGAAGCTTTCAGCTGGTCTTTCACCGAAGTCAGTTGAAGATAGAGAGTTGATGTCGAAGACTCCATATGCGAGTGCGATTGGGAGCTTGATGTACGCGATGGTATGTACGAGGCCAGATTTGTCACATGCAGTAAGCATGGTATCGAGATACATGCACGATCCAGGAGTGGGTCATTGGGACGCCGTGAAATGGATTTTGAGGTACATTCGAGGTACGCTCAATGTTGGTTTAGTTTATGAGCGGGACACTACAGGTGGGCAGCTATGCATTGGCTATGTTGATTCAGATTATGCCGGGGATTTGGATAAGCGCCGGTCTACGACGGGGTATGTGTTTACTTTGACCCGTGCGCCGGTGTGTTGGAGATGCACCTTACAGTCGACGGTGGCTTTGTCTACGACGGAGGCAGAGTATATGGCAGTTACGAAGGCTGTGAAGGAGGCTATTTGGCTTCGAGGACTCTTGGAGGAACTTGGTATATCGCAGAGGTCCGTCACTATTCATTGTGATAGCATGAGTGCTATCTATTTGGTGAAGAATCAGGTTTTTCATGCGAGAACGAAGCACATTGACATTCGTTATCACTTCG